TACCAGCAGGCCAGGGCAAATCCCAGGGCACCGGGGGCTCCAGGAGAGACAACCGGCCAGCAGGGGGCAGTGCCAGCAGCCCAGGGCACTTCGCAGGGCACCGGGGGCTCCAGGAGAGATACCCGACTAGTAGGGGGCAGTGCCAGCAGCCCAGGGCACTTCGCAGGGCACCGGGGGCTCCAGGAGAGATACCCAGTCAGCAGGGGGCAGTACCAGCAGTCCAGGGCACTTCACAGGGCACTGGGGGCTCCAGGAGAGATACCCGACTAGTAGGGGGCAGCGCCAGCAGCCCAGGGCACTTCACAGGGCACCGGGGGCTCCAGAAGAGATACCCAGCCAGTAGAAGGCTGGCAAAAGAGGAGAGGCTCCGCAGGGCAGGGGCACAGACATCTTGCTCGTTTCTTACTGTGCTGGCAGTGCCGACGTGCCCAGGTGGGCTGACCTGTTACTCTGCTGTATTCTGCACAGGCTCGGGTACGATGATGTGGGCTTTCTTGGCACTGTGCTTCCTGCTGTGCCATTCTGCCCAGGGGGCAGCGAGCGCAGGAGAGCAGAGGGCCCTGGGGCAGAGGGACAACAGCCCAGAGGCGCAGGAGGGGCGCGGCTGCAGTTCCACGCTGGCAGAGGTGCTGGGGCAGCTGCTGAGGCAGTGCCTGGCCTGGAAGGGAGGCTGGGCGGAGCTGACCTGCGACCCCACCGAGATGGGGTTCCACGGCTTCACCCCGGAGCCGAACTCCAGCAGCTCCTTCCCCTGGTACAGCTTCCTGGTCCAGAACCGCATCCGCTACTACCACCTGCGCAAGGCCAACGCCAGCCTGTCCAAGTTCGAGCTGTCTCCGGACGACCGCCACACGCTGGTGGGCCTGTCCCTGCTGCGCCCCGCCAACGCCTCCTCTTCCTCCTCGCCCAAGGTAGGCTCAGTCTTCCTCTCGGACCCGTGCAGCGACTGGGGCACCGTGCCCATCCCGGCCGCCGCCCTGCAGCCCCTGCGCGGCCTCCCGCCGGCCCGGTTCCAGAGCGCCCTCTCCAGGCTGCAGGCGGAAGCGCAGCGCCCCCGCCGCACCAAGCGCTGCCTGCTGTGCAAGATCCTGCCGCTCATCTACGTGAAAAGCAGCGACCAGCACGACGGCAGGGCGGTGGTCCACTGGCAGAACATCCACGATTCGGACGAGTACAGCCGCGTGGCGCTGTACCCCAACGCGGACTCCTCGCCCTGGGGCTTCCTGACCAAGGCGAACGCGGAGGGGGTGACGGACGGGTATCTGCGCACCCGTGTCCCGGTGCACCCCAACATGGAGGCGCGCTTCTACCTGGACCCGCTGCTGGTGCTGCTGGAGCGGAAGAGCAAGGGCTACCACCTGTCCTGCTACGAGGACCCCACTTACGTCAGCATGTCCATGAGGCTGCAGCTGGTGGCCCAGCATGGGCAGGCCTGCGCCCGCGTCTTCATCGACGTCTCCCAGCACCCCAACTGGCGCAACGAGGTCTACTACTGGTGGGTGGGCTTCTACAGCAGCCGGAACAGGGCCGCCAACGAGCACCAGGAGTACCAGTGGGTGACCAAGGCCTCCTACGTTACCTCCGTCTTCCTGGACGAGGAAATTTTCGGGGTGTACGACGTGGGCTGTGGGGGCCACATTGGCCCCCGGATGAATGTGCGCATCTTTGGGAGCCGAGATTACTCCAGAGAGAGGGCCCGCACCCCAGAATGGGACTGCTGAGAGAGCCCCGCCGACGCACAGAAATCCCACCGCTGACTCACTAAT